AGCTTCCATATACCCAGGGTAGTTGTTACATCATAGGGTACTACTTATACGGACCAATTCTTTATCTCTGGGTCACCACTTATGACTTTTGCTTGGTGCTGTAAGCAGCGGACAATCCTATTCTTTATGCTGTATGGATGGTGGGAATTGAAATTGAGGTACTGTCTGGTGAATGTCGGTTTACGGTATACGGATGTCTTGAACCCATGTTCTGTTCAAGATATTAGAACATCCAGGAATGGGAGTGTGTTTTTACTCTCTTTCTCCATTGTGAACTGTATCAAAGGTCTTATTGAGTTCACATGGTCCAGTAGAACCTGAACATCTTCCTGGTGTGGCCAGAGTATGAAGGTGTCATCTACGTACCTTAACCATATATTTGGCTTTAGAGATATAGATTCTAATGCCATTTCCTCAAAGTATTCCATGTATATATTCGCCATTGCTGGTGATAATGGCAAGCCCATTGCTAAGCCCTCATCCTGTCAATATATTGTGTGATCCCATTCTGAAGTGTGTTGTTTATGTACAGAGTCAACACCTCCATCAGATTATCTATTGGAATACTGGTCCATTCTTCTAGGGATGAGTCAAAGGCTAATCTGTCTGACTACTAAGAGTCCCTCCTCCGTGGGTACCTTGGTGAACAAACTCACCATGTCCAAACTCACTATCTGGTTGGATAGGATAGGAGCATCTTTTGATTATTTCAACAAAGTGGGCTGAATTTCAGACATATGAAGGAGATCAATGGGTCAATTATATCTACAAGGAAGTGATTCAGAGGGTGGCACACAGAGCCTTGGCAAATAACAATCGGCCTGAGCGGAATACTGTCTTTGTGAATCTTAGAGAGACTGCATATGTGAGGTAGCTTGGTGTAACACTGCGATAACTGCCTATATGTCTTGTATGGTGCAAAGTGATCCTTGTTCTTGATTAGTATCTGTGACAGTTTGCGTTCAGTTTTCATTGTAGGATCCTTTTTTCATTTTATGTAGCTACCATTGCTAATGAGGTCTTCCAAACTTGTATAAAACTGATATAAGACCACCCCCATAGAGGAGAACATTTTCAATGTCTGTGTAGTATGATGATCCCGCATTATTTCTAAAGAAATATTCTTTATGACAGGCTGCCCCTTTTTTATGCTTCAAGAACACCAGGAAGCTTAACACAAATATGAAAAAAATTTTTTTGATGAATATATATAGGAGAGAAGGAAGATCAATACCCTCTGTATAATCAGGTTGAATCATAGACAAAGAACACCATTGGAAAATTTTGATGGAATATATATTGCACATATGCTTGGTATAAAAAATGATCCTACATAAAGCCAACCAATCATAGAAATTGAATTTTGTTATATCAGTAATAAGGAGTGCCAGATGAAAGCAATAAAACAAAAAAATTGGTAAAAACATGCAATGATAACAGCAAAAACTGCAATATTATCACACTGGTTTCAAAATGGTTACTGAAGACATTAGGTTTATTTTACCCAATAAATTCATACACATGGCACATTTGGATAAAAGATAATGAGATTCAGTGACAGGACCCAAAGAGTGTGAGTTCAATACTCGATTATGGCAGTGGAGAACTTTCAGAGGGAAATTAACAGGAGATAACTGATATCCATTAAACATGGCACGTGGAACTAGAACAGTCTACCCCAGTGAGCAAAATAAAGGGTTCAGTTTGACATTCCAGCCTGAAGAAGGCCGGAGCGTACAACGGCCAAAACGTTGTAATAAATATGGCGACAAAGATGAGGACAATAGTCCAAATAATGTACATAATACCTCATCTCAGACTCCATCTTATAAACAGATCTTCCATCTATTAATACTAACACGAACAGGTAAAACAGAAGTACACCCGAAGTTATTATTGAAAAATGCAAAAACTACAATTAACTTGTAAAATGTTATTTAGTTAATGTATAAAATTTATATTTTTTTAATTGGCTAATGACTTGAACTGGTATTTTTCCCAGCTATAAACATTTTATCAGGACTTTCATAATCTTTGTATGTGATCAGCATAGAGGATACACTAGAAGGAGAAACTGCTATTATAGCATTTATTCTAATTCATAATAATACTGGAACAATGCTGTACCATTTCTATCTGTTCAAGAGATTAAGTAATACTGATTAATAAATGAGATATTTTTGATATGGGAACAATTTCAAACAAAATATTTAAAAGAAAAATTTCATAAATATTAGATTGAAAAAAATTTTTTTAAAGTAGTTCTTTTTAAAAACACTTGGAAACATCTTAATAGTTCTTTTTAAAAACACTTGGAAACATCTTAGTTAATGTCCTGGTTTGTAGTGTTGTTATTAGTATTATGTTATAAAGAATTATATAATGAATACAGTTGTTACCAATCAAGATATTTTTGAAATTTCAATCTGAAAGAGTTTATATCATATTATCCTTTTAAGTAATATCACGTAACCAACCTGGTTTGAAGTATTTTTATAATCACTAATAGAAAAAATAAGAAAAATAGTTATTTTCAAAAAGCTTTACACCCAATGTTTATCGCAATGCAGATCATTTGATATCTTTTGATAATCCTAATCATACTGGTCTATTATGATACATTAATACAATGAATGTTTTTCATTTAATTTTTCAATACATAGTAATATTGCTGAGTAATTTTAACTCATTCTGATTTTTTTTGAACTTGTAAAACTGATATAAACAACTCTTAGATAATTTTGTTTTCCTTTTACAATGCTTACTCAAACAAAACAATCAATATTTATTAAGATATATTTTATTCATATAAATTAATATTTATGTGAGACATGATGATTAAAACAATTGATATTATTCTGAAAAATATACTTCATTCATAAATAAAAGTAGAGCAAGTTTTATTAATATTTTAATGCTAAATCATATTTTCAGGAAGAAAAACGTGACATTTTTTGGAATAAGGTTTTGTTTGCCATATACTTAATTCTTTCAGAATTACTTTTTAGAAACGTTTTTAAGTCATACTGATTTATAATACTTTCTGTTTGAGTTGAACATAAAAAATATTAGCTGTAATGTCTATTTGATAGTTTTAATCTCAATCTTTACTTGAAAAAGAATCTTTTCTTGAATAGGCAAAATTGCACTAGAATAAAATTAATTTTAAAAATAAAAACATTTGTGAAATTATGTAAAGGTGTTATGCTTACAAAATTGGGAAGCACAAACTTATATATATGTACCTGCATAATTTCAGTCACTTACTCAAGATGTAAATTCTATATATTACATAAAAAGATACAGTTGAAAATAAGCTGATACACATAAAATGTATTTTCTTAGTTTTATTTTTTAAATTGTGTGCATGAGAAATAACTGAAGTTCTTCCCATAAAAATCTCTGTAAAACAGTATTTTTAAATTTATGATATTGATAGTGATTTCATAACTCTACAAAGAATCATGGTTTTAAGAACTAATTTTCTAATACAACAGATTTTAATATTGATTATTAATAAAAACAATCCAATTATCTTTATTAAAACCAACTTAACATTTTCTGAAAAATGTATCTAAAATCATATTATGCCATAATTTATTTCAAGATACTACCTTGTTAGAAAGATTAGAAGCTTTCAGGAATAAAGACTTTTTAAGAAAAGTTTTTCCAATACACAAAATCATAACAATCAGGTTTTAACAGATAAAGTAAAAAAAATTATATAGAGCATTGTTTGTAATTCTAATTTTATTATAAGTAAGTGAATAACAAAATAGTAAAAAACTCCTACATTATATATTTTCTCTCTAGGAAGGACCTTTCCATACTAATGATGATTTTATCGATATAGTCAGTTTTAAGTTTTTTTTTTGTTTTTTTTTTTATAAATCCCATATGGGTAAAAATATAGGAAAAAGAAGTTGAAAATGCAACTGGATTTTTATTTACTGTAACTTTATCAGTTTCACTTTTCTATTATTTTTAAAAGTTAAATTGAGATGGATAGACATGTGGTTATGGGAAATAGAAGGAAAAATAAAACAAATGCCAATTAATATTTTTAAATAAGGGACACTTAGCTTCAAATTTTTGATATCCAATTTATACAGATGTATAACCTAGCCAACTTCATTCAGCTTTCTATCACTTTTGTTTTGAAATATCCCACATTGTAATAGTTTTGTTCGAAAAGGAAATATATGTTGTATGATCCTGGATGTAAATTCAATGTTGAAGATTCTGAAATTAGTGCAATTTTAATACATTTTCAACTTACTAAATTATTTTCTTTATTAATTTCTGCATCCTTTAATTCAAAATTATGGTCAGACAGGTCTGGCCATAATCTTGAATTAAACGAGTGTATTGTGAATTAGGCCAGTTAGATTATGAATCTAGAAACATCAGATGCCAAAAACTTTTAAAATTTAAATTCAAAGCCAAGTATTTCTCAATGTAAAATTGCAACCGGCATTTGTTGAGTGTGTGTATATGTATATATATATATATATATATATATATATATATATAACTGACTTCATTGATAAAATCATTATTTTTTGAAGAAGTCCCTTCTAGGAAAAAAAATGTGTAACAAGAGAATTTTTTTTATTTTGCCATTTCAATACCCACTATTTATTTGATATAAAGATTTGTATATAAATTCTATACTTTTATTATACAAATTTGTCAATTTGATTCCAACTTGTTTTTTTTCTTTCATATTTTAGCCCTTGTGAAATTAAAAATGTATGTAATGAAGGCACTTCATCCCAAATTTACAAAAAGAAACTAAACTTTAAAGCATTGTAAGAACTAATGTAGTCAACAGTATTGCTAAAAAAAAGCTGATAGAATAAATAATTCAAAACATTTCCCCTCCAAAATTTATTTGAAAATTGGGACAAAGTATAGTATCTCATATGGTGTGAACTTAGACTTGTACCTTAGGTTAGAACAGCTCACTAAGGAACTGTTTTTAATGACTGGAAGCTGGATTAGTGCAACTTCTTGATATCCTACAAAGCAAAAAGAAAATTCCAACATAAGTACTAAATTTTCTTGTGAGAAAATGAATTTCACTTGTCATGATACATCAGAAAATGTTTTATAACAAACTTTTTAATTATTTTAAAGTTGTCTACTATAAGTGTCAAAAATATCTAATTCAAAGCACAAACATTATTAGTAAGAAAATGTCCAAAACAAATGTTAAAAATATAATTTAGTTTTAGTCATCAAGTAAACTTTACTAACCTATTTCTACTATTGTGGAAATAAAACAATAATCAAGCAATTGATTTATTTTTATAAATATAATACATATAGGAAATTTGCATTTTAGTTACATCATTTACATTTGTGCTAATATCATCAACATTGAAGTTTTTCTTACAAATTCTTCAGATGTCTGAAATAACCTTTAGGGAATTTCAAACTGAACCCTTTATTTAATCTCTTATAGATTAAAGAAAAGATTCATTTTGAAATTATTAAGTAGATTATTCTTGATTTGTTCTTCATGTATAGATGTATCTCGGCTTGTTCTTATTTAATAGTTTAATTATTATTTCCATTGCCTTGGAGTTTGTACTACCCAGCCTAAGGATTGAAATCACAATTACTATGTCACCAAATTTATGAACCAACACTTTAATCCACCAGGATTGACACAACAGCCAAAATGTTGTGATAACAACAAAGGTAAGAACATTAGCTCAAATATAAAGAATGTAAATACTAGAAATTCATAACATTTGTAAACAAAAAGATTTAATAAATAATGCATTTATAGACATGGCTTCTACTTGTGATACTTTGATTCCTTAATTTGTGACTATTGGGCAGGCCCACAGGATTCTGCAACCATATGACAAAAATGTGTTTTAATTCACTTGATTGATACACAAACTATTTTTAAGAAACATAATTTATCCTGTATCCCAAACTAGCCAATACATCAATTCTTTCATGATTTCTAACACTACCATGAGAAAAATAATTTATATTTTGAGAAAATTAAGATATATTCAGCTCCCATATTTTAAAAACAATTTTCATACTAAAGTCATTTTGTATCTATTTTACACAATATTTGATATCAGTGATTAATGACATACTGTATCACTTTTACTTACCTCCATCAAAATATCCTTTAATTTATTGTAAGCTTCGGTTAAATTATCATTTATAATGATGTGATCATAAACACCTGGCTTTTCAGCTGAATAAAAAGAAATCATTGTCATTACCAGTCAATTATTTCCAGCAGAAAAATCAAAATCCAAAATGAACAAAAGCATGATATTCAATATAGAATCCTTTTCAAAATATAAGAAATGTCTCAGATTTGGTTATTGGTATCTATATATTTAACAAAAATGGGAACAATTTTTTATAGCCTCATTATTGCCATGAGAGAAAATAACCACAGAAAAATTCATTATTCAAGGTTACTGATTTCATTCTTAGCTGTTATATCAAAATTTCAGCCAATCCATTTTTTGTCTTCCATATGCAAGGAGAAGGCTTGTTTTTCCACAATTAGCATAGTTGGTCTGATAAACTTATTTGCCACTATATTTTTTTTTTTATTTACTATTTTCAACAATAACAAGATGTAAGGAAATTAACTAGAAAAAAAAAAAAAAAACCCATCCCCAACATACATACAAATGTTACACTTGAGGAAGGTAAAAGAATGGATTAGCCAAAGCCTTGGGGTAACAACAAAAACAAAATGAGATCAATAGGCCAAAGAATGAGGATGTCTCATCTGAAAAATCAGAATGAAATTGTAAAGCGTGATTATGAAGGGCAAACTGCTTAAGACGCATGTTCATAAAAATTTTTTGTTCCAGCTACACTTATTTATCAACAAATGAAAATTACATTTTTCAATGCATTTGTACAAAATTACTTGACCAAAAAAAAAAAACAAAAAAAAACAATGAGAAAACTGAAATCAGTAACTAAGTAATATCTAAGTTCCATCATTAAGAATGCTTTTTTTTTTTTTTTTTTTTCATGCTTCTCACACAGAACAAAATTCAAGTTTTGGAAGTAGACCAATTCTGTTTTAAAAAAACAAGCCTTTACACAAAATTACGATACCTACATCTGCACTTAATTAACTATTATTTTATCACAATTATGCATAAGTCAATAAGTCTAAACCCTAACACTGAAAAAAAGCATTCATTTTACACAATAAATATTTATTTTTTAACATCATTCATCAGTGTATATTAATAAATTCTTCAAGCAACAAAATCATGAAAATAACTAAATTATATATATATATTACATATACACACACACAAATTAACTTAATGTACAAAACAATATGGGAAAATACCTAAATATGCATTTGTTTCATCATAAGACAATATTTTTTTTATTTTCAAATAAAATTTTACTGTCAAAAAATAAACAATTATTTGAAAGCAATTTTCTAGCAGAATAAAATTATTTAAAATACTCACAATAAGAAATAGCTTCATCTGCTGTATCTAAACGTTTCTTCAGTGATTCTTCACTTTCAGTTCCCCTTGCATGTAATCTTTTTGCCTTTATTTTCAAATAAAATATTTAGAAGCAATTGTTTTCTATTTAGCTGAAGCATTCAATACAATAGAAGTGAAAATTTAAATGGAATAAAATTACAATTAAAAAAATTATAATTTTTTAAATTCTGAAGTTTGTAAACAAAAAAAAAAAAAAAAAAAATGTGGATTCATTCATAGTTAATTTCAGAAATTAATTTACACAGACTTTTCCTCTCACCTTAGTTGTTGCAGTCAATGTTTCAGTCAAACATGATAATTGTCACTTTTCTCATGTTGTTTCTCTCCAATGAGCTGATATGATCCTTGACTGTGTGGCCCAAAAGATTGAACTTTTCCAGGAAACAAGACCAATGAGTTTATCTAATATAAAACATTCTGGTAATGAAATTTTGAAACTTTAAACCTATTTTACCCACCTTATTTAAGGATCGCATAAGATGTTCAATGCTTATAGTGAGCTTAACTAAATCTTTTGAGAACTGCATGTATACTATTTCTTTTAATCACCTTATTTTCCAATGTTCTATATTATTTTAACCTTGTTCAATATGTACTGATATGCTTCCTATCATACACATTCAGCCAATCCTAATTTCAAAATCTGTCAATGACTTTTTGATGATCTTTAAGCATTATTTTTAAGTGGTAGCTAGTTTCTCCTTTTGTAATTTACACCACAATTGCAATTTTAGGACATATTTTTCTCTGGTACAAATCTAATTTTAGTTGCTTAGAGTGGTACTGTCTTTGAATGCATTGTCTATAGACCTCTGGAACATTCTCAAACACACTTTCTGATGTAAAGTCAGGAAATTGTTGTAAGTCTTTTGTGTTTGTTTTCCAAACTTACACATTTATTCATGTTATGTATGTCACCTAGTTACTTCTTCCAAGCATGTCCCTTATCCTGTTGATAAGTAGTTCGATTGCCAGTAAAAGATTTTAACTGAAGACAATGAACTGTTCTTTTTTTCTCATATTCTATGAGAGTTTGGAACTGATATTCAGATATTCTGATTCAGCTTGCAGTAATACAAATGTTTTGAATCCTTAACCTGTACATACAAGACTGATTGAAAATGGGATTCAACTGGTAATGTTCATTCACTCAATCAGCAATACAATTTTCAATTTGTCAAACCTATTTTGCATGAAATGAATACAGTATGAAACCAACTGATTATTAATGATGAGACATTGCTCCAAAAGTTGGTGTAAATATCATGCTTCTAATTATTTCATCCACTAAGATTTTCAACTTCAAAATTTTGTGAAATTTGAACTTTGTTTCACCCACCAAGTTAACGAGCATCCTTTTTTCTTTATGATGGGACTATTTTGACATGTAATGCAACTAATTTGAAAAACATCACTTTGAAAATATGGAAAAAAAAAATCATTGTTCATCATTGAAAATGACATATTTTAAAGAGATGTGAAATAAAAACTAATCATTATCACACATGTGAAAGAATTGTATCTTTAGAAAGAAAAAAAAAAAAAAAGATTTATTTTTTATCAAAATAACCTTGAAAATAAACAAGATATCAGCAGTTGAAATGAATGGAAATTTCACAATTTTGACAAATGTTCTCACTACAAATTAGGGCAGATTGGGTTACCTATTTATACTTACCAGTTCATCAAGGGATGGTGGTCTCACAAATATATATCTGGCATTTAAATTGGACTTTTTAATGCTCTTTACCCCATTAATTTCAACATCCAAAATACATATACGGCCAGTTTCTTGAATTGATTCAACTGCACGTTTACTGAAAATAAATCATATGTTAGAAAAATAAATTTTTTCTTTGAAATATAGTAAAATTGTCAGCAACAGAAAAATAAAGATAATAATAATTAAAGACCAGTTAAATTTAAGCTCAGAAGCACTTATCCAAATTAGCAGATGATTAGGGGTTACATTCATTTTTGTTAAGTATATACTGACAAACATGGCACCTGGACAAGGTTCAAAAATGGGTCTGTTTATCTACATATATATATATGTGTGTGTGTGTGTGTGTGTAAATTAAACTATGAATACACACAAGTAATAATGATAATAATAATCACCAACAAATAATAAAGTAATCAATAATGAGTAAAGAGTTAACAAACACTATAAAATAGTCACAAATAACCACATTCTGATACATAATTATTTCTACTCACTCACCTCTAGAATAATTTGAAACATAACCATTACAGCCCACCCAATAACCATTAGGATAATACAACTCTACCCATAATGCACCATTGACTAGAATATATAAATAGTTGAGCCAAAAGACAACACACATGACCTGAGGATTTCACTAAGCATAAAATAGATCACCGCCAGGCATTGACCTCAGTGTTCACTTATATATACAGGGTGCGATGGGTAAATTGTCGCCATTTTATATTTTTAATTTTGCACATGTGCATTATTTGTTTTTTATTTTGTCAACTGCACAATATAGTAGGGTCAGTTGGGCACCGTCTGTGAGAAAAAGAGCACCATGATGCAATTCACTCCATCAGAAATTAGCAAACAGCATGTTGTACTGCTTGGCATTCACATCAGAAGCTCCAATACAAACATTTCAGAATGTTTGGGTGTCAATGCAGAGGATTCAGAAAGAGTTGAATGATATACCCAGTCAACATCATGGTGTTTGAGTGATCACTAATGATGGCAATATTATGTCTCCATTTATCTTCCCACAGGACTCAACACAGAAGCCTATATCAAGTGCCTTGAGGAGGTAGCACTGCCCTGGGTCAAGAAGGTGGCTACTGGAAGATCCAATGTGTGGCAACAGGACTCTGCATCATGCCACGCAAGCAGGAGAACCCAATCAGGGCTGTCAGACAATTTTTACGACCATGATACCCCTTACATCTAACACCTAACTCCCCAGACTGCAACCTCCTTGATTATTATGTGTGAGGTGCAGTTGAGTGAGAAACCCAACGAAATTCCTTATAAAACCAACAATGAACTAAAGGCAAGCATTATGGCAGCATTCACAAACTTAAACAAGGAGATCATCCAGAAGAGATGCAGGAGATTCCAAAGTCGTCTGCAGGCCATTGTTGATGTCAATGGCAATTTTATTGAATAAATTTACTTTAGTATTTCAAAATATTTTTGTGTAATTTTTGTAAATATATCTCTTAAAATGATATGTCAATGTTTTTCTGATTTATGCATAATTTAGACAACAAATTATCCATTGCACCCTATAAGAGTGTGTGTATATATATATATATATATATATATATATATATATATATATGGTTTGGCTACTTGCTGTGACATCTGTATTAATTAGTCTGAAGACTGACTCCAAACGGCTTCTTCTTACCTCTGACCTGAAGCTTTTTATTTATAGTTATGGACTAGTTCATATAGTTACCAGGAGTGTACTATTTACTCCACATCATCCCCCTTTTGAGATTAATACTTTAATAAATATTTTATTTTTTATTAGTATTAGTATATCCCTCTCCTCTTTCTGGAGAGATCACCAACATATTTGACTTCATAGCATTACCATCTCACATCCACTTCTTTAATATGCTTTCTTTTTCTGGAACTTTGTTGTGGAGCTGGAACAATGAAAACATCATATAGCATTTTTTTCAGTTCTTCCAATGTTTCAGGTCTTTCATCAATGAATCTTTTTTCAGCTGATTATGGTGTCTTATGTTCAAATATTTTCCCTTCCCAATTCTTGCTGATATTATGCCATATTCTCACATTTCTTTACCATCCTTATATGCTCTAAGGAACACTTTATTGTCGGCCATGAAACTTTTGGCATTGTTCTTGTTATCCATTTGTGTTTTTTGACTTGGTAATAACTTGTCAAACACCTCTTTTACTTTTCTAACAAACATTAATTCTGCTGGTGTAAAGCCTGATGGTGTAAACTCACAGAAATTCTTGAAGTGCTTCCTCATTTACTTTCTCAAGACTTACTTTTTCAACACTCTTTTGAACTATGAAAATCCTTCAATATTTGCTTCTGTAACACACTCAGTATTACATTACTACATCCTTGCATAGTGAGTAAGTGTTCTTTGTTACTTTCTTTCAATTGCTTTTTAATTTTCGCAATAAAGATGTCATTTTCGGCTTTTTCTTTTATTTCTTTCATGTTGCACAAAATGTATTTTTATTTCCATTTCACTTTTTAGTGCTGCAATAACCGTGTCCTCAAATGGTTTGGCTTTTTTAATCCATCCATATATCCAAAATTCTTTTTTTAAATTTATGTAATAATTGCTAAAGTCACTTTCTATTTGGCTGTAATTTTTCTCTGCTGGAAAAGTGAGCATGAAGTATTTTACTGCCATCAAATTTGTGTAAAATCACTGGTCCAGTACTGTACTCATTAGCATATAATGCCACTACAATTTCAGCTTTTGGATTGTAGTCTGCTAATGATAAATCTAACATAAGTCTTTTTTTATTTCATTGAACACCTTTTGACAGTTATCATTCCAGTTCCACATTACTCCTTTTTTAAGTAGGTGGTTCAGTGGAGCTCTCAAATTATGCATATTATGTACATATACTTGATAATAATTAGCCAGTCCTAGAAAAGCTTGTAATATAGTTACATTGATTGGTGGAAGCATTTTTTTAATTGCTATTATATTATATATATATATATATATATATATATATATATATATATATATATATATATATATATACATACATACATACACACAATATCACTTCACAAAGTAAGATATATTCACTACTTGAAATCTTTGAAACAAAAATTTTAAATGAATATTTCTTTCATAAATTGGCTTGTTAAAGTTAAGGAAAGTTTTACAAATATATGGCAATTTGTTGAAGGCCAAGTAAAATGCAAATTTCAATCACTTTTCTGTACTATATAAGATGATATTCCTAAACAGAACTATTTTTGATATGAAAATCAAAACAATCCTCAAATAAAAAAAACAGTAAAGAAGGACAGTTAATTAATGAAATAAACTTTTTTTAAAATCAATATGCAAATTAGTTAAACCTGAAGAGCAATATTGCCTAGAAGTAGATAATATATAATACAGATAGTGAGCTTTCAGTTGTGTGTCATTGGGCAGAGTGCGCTCAGGGGCTTCTCTGTCAAAGGACAGAGGTGCAGCTGAGGAAAATACTGAAGAGGTGCCCAACTTTGGGGAACAGCTGCCTGAGGCTGTGCCCTCCCATTGCAACAGAGGAAGGGATTGGTGCTTCTGTCTCTGTCTTTGAGCATAGTGCACTCAAGGGCGACTCAAAGGACAGAGTCGCAACTGAAGAAAATTATACTGAGAAGTGCCCAGATCTGGGGAAGAGCTGCCTTAGGCCACACCCTCTAGAGAGAGGGATCAGTTCTCACACCGAGGCCAGTTGTGGGAGAGAGGGGAATTTTTGTTCCTAGCCTGGGTGTACCTGCTCGGGCTCCCCACGTTATACCAAAACACATTTGTTTTTTGAGGGTGGCAGGCTGGGCCAAGGAAATATTGAACTCCAATTTTGCATTTATTCATATAGATTCCATAATATAGGTTTTACTTAATTAGATACTATGTTTCTCTAATTCTTCAAATGTTAAATGTATGACTAATTCAAATTTCTATTTTACCAATCTTTACACTATATTAATTTTATCTTATAAATTATCCCCTGTTGTCATCCATGAAATAAAAATAATTGTCTGTGTGAAAAGTAAGGATCTACATACATCAAAATCATCTTTAAGTGTCAGCAGAAGAGTTATCATTGAACTTTTAAAAGGTAAGCTTATACATTAATTCAATACTTAAATGCAGCGATCAATTTTGAGTTCTTCTGCAGTTTATTAATGTCTAGCTATTGTGATGATAGCCAAACCAAGAGTCCTCCACAGGAGATAGCTTAAATGCCAGCCAATAGGGCGGCTTTTAAGCTATTTATAATAAAATGTGCACTGCAATTTTGGATACAAGAGGAAAATAAGAGTTACTCCCCTTGAACCATGAAAGCAACAATAATGGCTGTATATTAATACATATTTTTAACCTCGCATAATCTGGCAAATCCTGAATCTGAGCTCAACGAAAATCATTCCCTGTGTCTAACTTTTCTAAGGCTTTTGAATCATTGAAATCGGGTCAGTGAGAGTGGAGGAGTTGCTTGGATACACACATGCACATACACTGTACTTTATATATAAGATTAGGTATTTCCACTTTTTTGCTGAAAAACAAGAAAGAGAAAAGAACCCAAACTTAATAAAAACAAAGTTTTATCATCTAAATGTTTGTTATTAAGAAGAAAGAACTTTTTCATTATTTTATTAAGTTTTATAATCCTTCCTAGTATATTCAAAATTTTGATTAAAAATCTTGTTTTTATTTTACGTCAGCAGTCAACATAATATTTACAATTAGCGTTTTTGCGCTTTTTTCCAGTGGAAACACACTGATTTAGAAATTCTTGCAAAAATCAAATAATTGTTGGATTTTAATGAAACTTACAGGATTTATTTCCAAATGAAAATGAATTAGGTGATATTGTTATTAAGTGAAAACTATATTTATGAATCAAAAATTGAAAAGCTCAATAAAAGTCTTTTACACCCAATATTTTTTTTTAAATTTGTAATTTTTTTTATGTATATAAAATATTACGTAACTTGCCTGTTTGAATTTATGGTCGAACATACCCAACATAATCAGAAAATAAGAGTGATGACTATATTAAATTTAAATTCAACATTCCTAAAATTAGATTATCAAATCAGATTAATTATACTTTAAATCAGCTAATATCCCTCAAATAAGTTTCAGAAAAGTATATTTTATTTTTAAAAGATTTTTAAAACCAAGAATTAGCTTGCAAATGTGTCAAAATGTGCCAAAAATGGCTGATTTTATGAAAGCAAACAAAAAGTTGAGATTCCAATAAATATAACTTCTATTTGAGATACACCAGAGGATTTTGCTTACTTATTTTATTTTTACTTACTTTATTTTTACTTAATAGTAAATTACATCATTTAGCTTTCAATTAAAGCTAAAATGAAATCTTCAAAAATGCTTTTTCATTTTTAAAAATTAATTTTGAGTATCGAAAATTCAAATTATATTATATATAAATATATATATATATATATATATATATATATATATATATATGTATGTGTGTGTAAACACACAGACACTTACAATACTTTGAGTAATATAATAATATCTTACATCACCAAGTAAGTTTTTGTAAAGATTTCTATTATAAACAAGTTAAAATTTACATGGTCTTTTTATTATATCTATATATCCTGGAATTTTTATAAACATCAGCTGGTTAATATAAATTTTATTGTAAAAAGGCTGATTTGCATAATTTGATACAATGTAAGTCTAAGTTAATACTTAATAGTTTGACCCTCTTTATTTCTTTGGGTGGTCAACTTAGACTTGGAATTAATACCAAATATTATCTTATCTCCTTATTTATATTCTTCCTATTAGGCTATTTTATGATACTAGTATGAAAGTAAATGTTACTGTAACTAATTATATAATATGCTCAGTATAATATCAATGGGGACAAAACAACAGTAAGACACAATGAAACAACCAAGAATTTTTTCTCTTTAAAAGCAGAACAGAAACAAGATATTTTTTAAAAATTAACATTAAAATTCATTAATTTTAAGAATAACTTACCTGGTTCCATAGCAATTGCCTGAAAATTCAGTATATTCCAAAAATCCATTTTTACTAACTAGATCTTGAAAGGCTTCATGAGATACAAAATGATAATCTGAAAGGGAACAAGCACAAATGTATATAAACTGACTAATTTTTTAATTAAATTAAAATATATATTAAGAGAGCATAAAGATGTTAAATAGAGTTTAATAATTTCCAAATTTAATCAAACCTGTGCAAGATTCAAAAGACTGAAAAAAGCACATTTTAGAATATTCAAAGTTTATGCAAACTGGTCAATAAATTTAATATTTGATGAACTAAATACAGCAACATTACATTGGAAAATGTTTCAAATTAATATAAAATGCACCAACTTCAAGTATCTGTTCACCATCTTGATTGTCTATCAATAAGATTTATCTTTTCACAAATGATAATTTACACATTTAACATCCTCCACCACCATCTCAAAATGAAAATTAAAATGCTGCACATCACTCTCCTGTGTACGTTTAAAAGTTGACCACAATATTTTACAGAATGCCTATATCTCAGAAGATACAGTTAAGAAAGTTCAAAAATTTAGATATAAATTTCAAGGATGAGGTTATCCTAATTCAGATACCAATAATCAACTGAAAAGAATCCTTATCCAGCCATTCAAGAAATGGTCCCAAGATTAAAAACCTGAAAAGTATTAATTTTCAAAATGTGCTAGATACTATTGTTTTGTAACAAAAAGTATCCCTTTCTTGATCAAATAGTAACCTGCAATGAAATGTGAAAGCAGAATGACAACATACCACCAGAAACAATCTTCCTAACAGCATGATCATGATGACACTTTAATGCATTTTCCAAAGCCAACAGTACACCAACAAAAGATTGTGGTCAATGTTTAGCAATCAATGACAGCAATGGTCCATTAGAGTTTTCTCTTACAATAAAAGAATATCACTGCAAATGTTTTATAGCAAAGAATCAAGTAGTGACTTACTAGGAAGGTTGGATTGATGCACCAGGCATCATTTACTGGTTACAACCTGTATCTATCTCACTCTTATCCAATAGAACACACACTGTCAGGTAACCTCTCTCAACCTATGTTCATTTCCCACCCCAAATCACATAGGACAGCCCTTCAGATGATGACAACAGCATATCTTCTTAGATTGAGTGGGATACTTCAATAAATTCAAGTGAACAATATTGGAGAACATGGAAACAAGTGGCATGCCTGATTTGCATGCATTAGCAAATCCCTTCATCTAATAAAAACATTGACATTGAGCCAGAAAGGAGGGAAAATTTCAGTTCAGTACTGTGAGTTGACATCAGCTGATGGCACCAAATAGTAAAAATTGGAAAATACTGAACACCATGACAAGTCACATGTTTACTTCAAAAAATAGGAAGAGTTACAGTTAAATTTGTGTGAAATAAGACTAGAATTAATTATTTTATGAGAACCACATCTGCTCTATGATAATGCTTGGCTACATATTGCATAAATGACACTCTAGAAGTTCTATGCACTAGGTTTATAAGCATTGTCTCATTTCCCATATTCTCCAAACTAGACACTAACCGATTACCATTTTTTTCAAATATTAGAAAATGTTTTAATCTAAAAATGATCACTTGCTATAATGTAACAATGTAGAAAATGTCTTCAAAGATTCTTAAAGGTATACATGAACTTCAGGTTGAACAAATTACATAAAATTTATAGTTATTACATTTGTAAATATTATTTTTCAATGGCTTTACACTAGATTTCAAGCATGACAACTTTCTTACATGTAAGCAAGTACTCAGAGGGATTATATTGATAGACACTTGTACAACATGAATACCATTCTCTGAACATCCAGTGACAAGAATGCTCATGATGACTGTTGATAACTCAGCTGCAGGTTTTTACTTAAGTTGCCTTAAGTTAGACTGGTACCATCCATGGCTGAAGAGCCCAGTCTGCACTACTATTTAACTCATGGTGAGGGAGAAAAAATGGAATCATACCTTAATCAACGGCATTTGTGCAAAAGTGAATGTAAGAAACTTGACTGAAATTTGAACTCAGCTCACCAATTTCTCATTCCAAGCCTTTATCCATTACACCACCCACACATCCATATACAGAAACAAAACAGAAGGCTTCTAATAGACTGATTTTCATAAATCACCTCTGTATAAGCTCATGGAAGAATGCATTATCTCAAAATACTAGTCATTTCATTGGAATAGAAATTTCAAAAAGTGTTTTTCCTTTATTAATTAAAATATGAAATGTAAAAATAAAATCACACAAATTACTTACGTTTTCCATTTTCTTCTCCTTTCCGAGGTTTTCTTGTAGTGTCTATAAATAAGAAATTGAAGGTTATTGTGTTACTGATATTTACAGATCAACACTGATCTTACAAATAATGTTAACTTCTGTGATCATTTCTTTGAAATCTTTTACAGATAGTGTGGTTTGAATATATGAATAGAGGAAAAGGTGTCACTTACCTGAACACCATCAAAGAAACTGAGTAAATGAGGAAAGAAATTTTTATGGACAAAGACCAAAACATTGTGGGTAACAAATTTTCATATAGTAGAGGTGAGTGGTATTGTTTTTGTTTTTTGTTTTTCTGTTGTTACATTGGCTTTGGAGTAAATGAGTAAATGTTGTGATTACTAGAATTAAAAAGTAGCAGAAGTGAAAGGAAAAAGAGAGAAAAATGATGTCCTCGAAAACAAACTCATATCATGTGCACTGTTTACCAAGGAAAAAGTGTAAAAGTCAGTCAGAAAAATAGTACAAGAATACAAGAAATGCTTATCTGAGTAAACATTCCACATATTGGCCTGCCCAAAAGAAAAAAGATGCACATGACCTGCATAAACCTACTGGATTGAATATTAAGCCCCACATAAAATTCTGCTACCAACTATTTCTGCATTGTACCAATATGGTGAACAGCAAATTCAATTTGCTACTCAATGGTTGAATGGATTGAAAACGTGAAACTAGTTTGCAAACTGTGCAGCATAAACAGGTGGAGTGTGTCATACCCTTATGCTTAACCAGAGGAGCTTTTGCTGTATATCAAAGCAGTGTGATAAAGAAAAAACTGATGCAAAGAGCATAAGAAAGGCTCTATACATGGCATCCACAACAGATTCGTTTCAGGCCTATGAACAATTTGCAACCCAGAGGTTATGACCAGATGAAACCATAGATGCATATTTGGCTGAATGATGGAAACTCGAGGTCTTGTTTGAAGGAATTCCTGACAAAGTTTTAATGTGTGCCTTTATGGCAGGACTACCAGATTGGGTGAATGCATGCATTGTCCATGATGGACAATTTGACACTTGATCAACTGTTGGGGCATGCTCGTGCATAATGAAGGATGAGGAAACAGTTTTTGTGGAAGCTGCAGCATGCTTGCACACAGTGTGAGTCAAAAAAGGCCATGAAGAATACACAAAGCAATTGTCGGCTACAAGTGTAATGGCAATAATCACGTAGCAAAGTACTGCCAAGATAAAGACGGAAAGCCTCAGATTTGTTGCTACCTATGCAACAAACTCGGCTACATATCATGAGACTGTCCAAGAAACGAAACAGGGAATAAGATGTCACTGCCAGTCTCACTCTCACAAAAGCTATGAAAAAGTCGCTCCCTGTTATAAATGTATGAGTTGATGGGATAAAATGTTCAGCATTGGTGGACACAGGCTGCTCCCAGCTGCTTACCAATATATCAATTTGTCATCCATGGAGCAAACAGGAAATGGATATGCCGACAGTCAATGAAAAGAGCCAAGGAGTGTCACATTATGTGTAAATAATTGCAATTCAGTCAATATTGATGTTTTAGTCATAGACATTGAATTGTTGGGGATCAACTTAATTCTCAGAATGGATGTCATTAAAGACTTGGTGGAGTTCATATTTCTGAATTGAGTGAAGTTAGATTTTCCAATTTACCTGTTTGTGTGGCTATCGATATCAATCAGCCAGATTTTAGCATGAATTTTAAGCACTAAGAAGTGGACAATATTATGGAAGTGGTTAGATGGACGCCAACAAGAGTACTTGAAGAACCAGATATCCGAGTACCCCATGTCTAGGCAAACTAGAGACAAATACAAACTATATAGTTGGAAAATGGGTGGCTGGTACCTTACTCTAAAGGAGAACTTGATCCACCTAGAGGTCTACTCCCATTGATGGTGCTGGTTCAAGAAAATAAAAGGAAGGTTTGCCCTGTGTTAGGTTACCAAGAGATAAATGATTATGCCGACATTTGCACAGAGAAATTGCAAAATTGGTGGAGGGGAAGGACCTAATGTCTATTCTTGATCTCTGCAAATTCATGTGCACTGCTCATTATGGTCATTCCAAAGGTTTGTGTACAAAGGATGGAGATAGTGCTTAATGAGAATGGGATTTGGATTCAATGTGGCACCAGCTGTAAATACTATGCCCATGAAAAATGAGCCTATTCAACAGGCTATTTTTGCTTACATTGACAACATTTGTATCAACGAGAATGTGGCATCCATGACTTGCGTAAAACAACAATTTGCTGACTGGAAAAACAATACTCGAATGTTCAGTTTGCAAGTCTGGAAGGAGCAGGACATGCTTTACTGGAAGCACAGGAGTAAAATACCAAAGGTGCCTGAAATTCTGACATGTAGAAGTGTATTCTCACTATGCGGAAAACTAGTAAGACACTATCCTGTTGATGGATGGCTCCACGTCATGACCATCTTTATAAAACATAGAACAACAGCATCTACTACCTGTTGGGATGATGAAGTAACTGACACCCTTCTCAGAAATATGATCATGGATATCGCTACCAGGATACAGCAGGAAGATCCCACATGTGGGTAAATTGTGTGTTGACATACACAAATTTGAAGTGTGAGTAGACATGAGTTCCCTTGCAATTGGAGTGGCCCTTGTGTCAAATGGGGAAGTAGTGGAGGATGCATATGGTTGCATACAGAAAATAATATAGCAGAGTTAGATGCTTTGCTGAAAAATGTTGACTTGGGCCTTCAATGGAAAGCAACAGGACTGCACCTATTCATGACTATGCATGTGTCCATGGATGGATATCAGATACACTTTCAGGAAAGGCCTGCATACACACTAAGGCTTCATTTGAAGGAGGAAAAGTTAATCACCAAATAAGAGTCATCTGTGGATATTAAATTAGTAAAATCTCACCAGAACCAAGCAGACAAACGAGATGGCTTGATGCATTAAGAAAGGAAAGAGAACCTGTCAAACTTGCCTGTGCAATATTGGTGAGCAAATGCAGACCAGAATGGATAAGATCTGTGCATAGACAATGTGGACATACCAGTATCAGACGGACTATGTATTTTGCAAGGCAGATTGATTCTACAGTCTCAAAAAGCAGCAGTTAGGAATGTAGTCAGGGAATGTTAAAATTGTCAGTCAATCACTCCATCACCAGTGTGATGACCAAAAGGAAAATTGGATGCATTTAATATGTGGAGTCAAACTGGAATGGACATAACCCATTACAATGACAAGCATTACCTAATATTAATAGATTGTGGTCCCACTCGATTCACCATCTGGTAAAAAATGCAGGGGCATGATTCAGCCAGTGTCATTAATCATTTGACAGGTTTTTTTAAACAGGACTCACCTGCTGAAATAATTGCTGATAATGACACTAAATTACGCAGTAGACTGTTCCAATAATTTTTGGACAAATGGGGTAATAAATTTTCATATAGTGGGGAGTGAGTGGTGTTGGCTTTTTGCTTTGTTTTTTTGTTTATCTGTTATTATATTGGCTCAGAGTACCAAGTAGGAGCAAGCATTGTGATTGCTAGAATTAAAAAGCAGCAGCAGAAGCAGTGGAGAAATTAGGGAGAAAAAGTTACACTTCAGTGAAAGAACATTCTATTTTTCATTCTTATTCACTCTATTTAGATCACAATAAACCACAGATACATTTAATTTAAACTAATAACTGATAAACTGCTAGTCATATGGAATAAGTCAACCTTTCTCAATTCATTTTTGCAATTCCCCCTGTTACAATTCTCACATGAAAATCAAGTTCTTCAATTGACAGTACTGGTGCTGCCACACACACAGAAACTAGCTTTTGTGTGAATCAAACCATCCCTGAATTAGAAATAGACATTTCACCAAGAGCCTCAATCATGTCTATTCCAATTAGGAGATCAAATCCAAGGGAGTCCTCTAGCACTATTAGGGCATCCATCATCACAGCCCTTACATTTTTCACACAAATGCTGACGGGCATAACTCCATAAAACTGCATTCTGTTGCCAATGGTTACGATGTAAACACTTTGTTTCTTCCACATTCAGCACATCTTCTTGCTCACTATGGTGTGGGAGCCCCTGGAGTTTTCTCTATCACTCGAGTGCATGTGAGCATCTGTTCAATGGTCACTACCTCCATCCAAGAAGAAATACAAAGGAGCTGTTTCATGTGATTTGACAACTCCTTGACAAAAACACACACCAGGCCACGGTTGCTGATACCCACCGAAGAGTACAGCCAGTTTACAAAGTTCTATTAAATACACATCAATGGATTTTCCTGGTCAAAGGCACCCCTCACTCAAAGAATTGTTCACAAACGCTGTGTAAAGAGCTGATTTCATGTCTTCATCTGCTTTTTCCTCTTTATATAATTGCTGACAGATGGCAAATGCCCCACCTGACAGTCTTAGAGGAATCACATGTTCTGGCCACTTCACTTTGCAAAACTCACAAATGAGTTCAGTCTTTTCACTCCATTCAACTACATTTGTCCCAGATACTGAGTTGTCAAAAATGGATATCAAACTCTCTCTCCAACATAGTTTTCAATATTGCTGAAATAGATTGTAAGTATATGTGGCTGAGTTATTGAAATTTGCTTCTATTGCACCAGTGGCATCCTTTCAAGTCATTTCCAGGTGTTAACAAAGGATGGCTTTTTATGGTATCTAGCGAGGTCACTATGCAGATTTTTTGTCATGTGAGACATCACCCAGTCTTCGCAGATTGAGTCTCCTGTACACATGACAAGTAATCTTATGTCACTTACACTGGGGATGGAGACAGGTTGTGTTAACTATACAATCCCAAGAAAATATGGTCTGTTTGGAGTTTCCTTCTAAACTATGGTCCAAAAACCTTAGTTTTAAGTACAACTGCCAATTTTTATCAAGACTGGCAACTGTAAATCTGTACAAATGAGTGTAGCAGAGTTTCCGCTTGGATTTTTATGTATAAAAATGTCAGAACAGATTATATCTTACTCTTCACTTTGTAAATGTTACTACCACTACAGAATGTTAAATTTAGTCAGTACAGTCAGATTTGCACACAGCATTTTAAGCTTTGTCACCTTAAAAAGTATATTCAAAATAAAATATATAAAAATTACGAAGAATGTATCCAAATAAATATACAAAATAAAAAAATTATCTTAAAAAAATAAAAACAAAATTACTATACAAAATATATTATTTTAAAAATGGTGAAAATTTTTTTATCTAAAAAAATGAAATATTTGCAAATCTAAATTTTGATTCAAAAAAACTTTCAAGTGAGAGCTAAGAGTTAACATCATAAATAATTAACTTATTAAAAAGAAATTATAACCAAAAAACAAAATTAAAAAGTTATCAGAATAAAAACATCATGTTTTTAAAATGCTACAGAAAATTAGAAATACCCCTCTGAGTATACTCTGATCTGAAACGGAAAGACATTCCTACTTAAAACAATAAATTCACTGCAAAAATGTGAAAACTATTTTTTAAGAAAGTGTTAGAAAAATATTTTAAAATTTGTTTAAAAAATACTTTAGTTTCAAAACAGAATGTTTCAAATTTCAATATTTAGATATCTGTTAGCAGAAGTATCACAATTTTATCCAGATGCAAATTGAAAATCTTCTAAAAAATAAAGTAGCCGTCCAAGGAATACGATTCAATCAAAGATAATTAATTTATTGATTGACTAAGTGAACTGGAGAAAAAAGTATTTAATGACCTAGCTTTCTTTTGTGGTTTCTATCATTACATTGCGTTCTTTGCAGACATTGCCTTACAATCTACTCTGCTGAAACCTTCAATACAAAGATTAAATTTTTATACTCTAGCCCTATCAAGTAGATATATAGGTCTTGCTGGAATATGCAAACTCATCCATCTATACAATTCCTGATAAAAAAAAAAAGTTAAGTACAATAGCAAACCTCCTTTTTTTTTAGATGCCCTAATTTGAAACAAGTTTTTTAATACTTTTATATATAAAAAGACCAACAGAATTACATGCTTTAATTCATTTCTGTTTTAAGAAAGGATTAGTTTCTTACCTTCGATATCAAGCAAAGGTCATCATCAGCAAACTTTATTAACTAAAGGAAGAAATAAGATCTACAAGTTTCATCATTCAAAATAACAGCTATCCTATATTACTTCTAAGAACAGAGAATAGGTGAAAACACCTCAGACAACAATGTTGCCACAGCAAACATACTATATGTGAGAGAAATAGTTAAATGATTCCAAATGATTGTGGACCTTATAACATCAGGGCAGTCTTCGGTAGCACACCCACTCTTCATAATGCCCTACCTAGAACTGGATGGTTTCTCATGAGAAAAGTAGATGAGAAAAAAATTACATTTCACAGCATTCAGTGTAAATGATGAAAAGAATGTAAAGTAAGAACCTGCCATCTCTTGAATGTCAGAGTAGAGGAAGAAAAATCTGGAAATATGGTTTACATTACTCTGAGATGAGGTCCAAATTATAAATCAGGTGCATCACTGGAGGGAGAAAAGATTGAAATGAACAGCATACATAATCTGATAGACAGAACCCATTTGCATTTTTTGCTCAGTAGGGAAACAATTCATCCCCAAATAAAAAAAAAAAAAAAATGAAAACACACATGTAACATAGGCTACAATGAATATAGAATTGTGTGGTATGCATCATTTTTTGGAATTAACTGATCCACCATTTCTGTTCTTGACCATTTTCTAGAAAAATATTACCTCCAACACACTTTTCTTGTGAACTGTACACCCAAAGAAAGCTGTTGAAGGGAACAGCCAAAACAAGACTTCAAACAGCTCTTGGAACATGAGCAGATGTTGTTCATTTTTAAAATTAATGTTTCTTCCTTACAATCAAATATTTTCATTAATTTTCTTTTAGATGCATACAAAAATACTTACGTGAAACACTGAAAGCAAAAGAATTAGGGAATTCTTTCATAAGTTGTTCAAGCAAGGTACTCTTTCCAACACCTGATGGTCCACTTATAACAACTGGTTTGACGTTGGTCATCTTTTGAAAGTGTGTAAATCCTAAGGAGAAATATAGTTAAGAAAAGCATTAATATTCCTTCATGGCACAAACCATTTTGTATCAAATATAAGTCAAATTTATACAAATAAAGTTTAATTTCTATTTAAAGTTTAATTTTCTATTTTTAACTTATATTTCAGTAGTGTGCTTACTATTCAATAGATGTGGACCAATGATATAAAGTGATAGTTAACATCCCAGTCTTACTGATCACAGAGAGAGTTAATTTCTCATTGAACACTCTGTACTGCTCAGTTAACATTATAATTTGACAGGTAAATAATATTCATAGTTTTGTTACTACTCACCTATACACAAACGCCTACACAATATCTGCATAGCAACAGAGACCAATATCTTTAAACACCCTCATTGGTCTAATACTGACCAAAGAAATACCTTCCCACTTAAATCCAAAATCCTGTCTGGGAGCCTACCAATGGTTATTTAAGGAACAGGCCCAGACAGACAGACAGACAGACAGACAGACATATGATGCTGTTGCCATTTTTATGATCAGACAAGAAATGATACCACAAACAATTAAAGAATACATACAAATTACCTCAACATAGAAATATGATATGGAATACAAAGTCAAAACAACAACTTTGCACAACTCACAAACTAATCAGGCTTGAAACAACAAAAAATTAAAATCATGCATGATTTCTAACAGAATAAACCCTGAAAACTTTGATCCACTGAAGACAAATCATTATGCGGCTAAATAACTCTCTATATCTATCTCTTAACATCCACTGTGAATAAGTTTGTTGATGCATTTTGTTTCTATAAATAAATATTCTTAACCTTCAGCATGTCTTTTCTCACATCATTTATGTTGCATGGCAGAAAGAAGGAATACATTTCGATCAACTTGATATTTATACAGACCAAATTTCTACCTTTCTCCTTCTCACCATCTGTAACAGTGTAAATAGATATATTTATGAATTCCAATCAAGGCATTAGAGGAATTTCACACAAATCTCCCTTTAAGTGAGTAACATCTAAAAAATACAACTATTCTGTTTTGTCTCCCCAGTATCTAAACCACAAGTAATAAAAGTATTTTCATGATATTTAAATAAAACATTTGATGGAGGACATTCAAGTCCAATCAAGATTTCCCAAATGCCTTAGATGAATAGCTTAATCTGCTTTATGAGGTGGAGTATCTAGCACAACATGTGACCCACAAGGTAAATACAGGAAAAACATTTCAAACAGACTTGTAGAGGCTGCAAAGAACAGTTTGACAAAAATCAAATAGTGTTCCAAGACTAGCACATAGTGAGTGACTTGCTTACATCCAAGATAACAAACAAGAATATTACATTGTTGGTGGATATTACTACAATGCTTTAGCATAACAGGACTGTGGCCCTATTTGTATCATACCAGTGCATGGAAAGTGATTAGTGACTTGAGGTGTTGAAAGACATGACAATTCTGAGTGAAGGAGTAGTGATGTTAGGAGAAAAGGTTATTCAGAATGGAGTCTAATGGAAAAAGTTTAGCTTAAAAATAAGAATTTAATTCCATAAAATACTTATAAGGAGGGCTTCAGAAGAGTTTGAACTCAAATTAAAGTAAGATTTAATAAGATTCAGTATAACTGATGAAAGAGGTTGGCATGGCATGACTAATGTTTGCCAAAATTCTACAGTATTTTTGGTCACTCTAGGATTTGTTTATTTAGAGACCTATTTGTTATATTTGCATTGATTTCAATGTAATTTTGAAAGCTTAAACATCTAGACCAAAACTGTTTTGTTTACTTGTTTAAGAAGATAATTAATCTTGTTTATTTCCCAGATGGAATTCTATATAAACAGAATACACATTTACACAAATCAGTTAGAGTATCATTAGGAGTTGCAGACAGCAAGTTGGAGTCAGTTGGAGAATGTCCACATGCCCTGTTCAAATATAGTGCATTAGAGAAAATCTGCTGTAAAAGTAATTCACTAAAACTTTAGCACCACCAGCATTACTTACAGATATCCCTCAATGTCTTAAGGGTAGAAAAGGAATGATTTGGGACAAAGCAGCCTCATAGCAAATATCTGATTTTACATTTCACCACTAATTGTTAATAATTTTTCAACAGCATCATTTTCTTCCCATTCCCTTTTCACCTGGCACTAAGGAAACAGTCAATCAAATTCTCACCCAGACCAACAAAAATTCCTCACCCTGTACAATATTTGAAACTCAGATAGTGTGCTGTAATTGGGAATCAAAATATATTTAGAGCAGTGCCCCACTCTGGAGTTATATTAGCTGTGATTTGAACTTAGGAAAGAAGATCACTAATGCTCACAAGTAATATTATCATATTGAAAAACTATTTCCTTTTGAAGGAAAAGGAGAAAAAAAATTCCATTCCTCACTTAATAATTGCCTCCCTCCTACTTCCCTGGTTTTCAGCATTTTCTTTCTCCTTTTTGCTTTCTTCAAAATAGGTCATCAGTTGGAGAGAAGGTAAGTTAACATAATACCCATTTTGTTATATTTTTTCCATTTCAAATGCTCACTTCATTATCTTCTTGATCACACTCAAACCAGTAATGCATCCAATAAAGTAGACAAACCACTTTTCATTATATTGACTTGCTCCAAGCCTCCTCCCATTGCTCTTCAGAGCTCTTATCATCTGATAGACCGGCAACTTGTTGCACATCCAAAACATGGTATAGAATACTATCCACCGAGTTGTTATATGGTGATTTTATAACATTCACCATCCCCTTACAATTTGTGACATACAGTAAACATTAGATAGTGTGGGGAAAATTGTGAAAACGGCTTTCCTCGGAAACGCCCACAAATCTGTGCGCCGTGCAAAATCCAAATGCTCAGTGGTAAAAAGAACCAAAATGGCGGCGCCCATGTTTTATGCCAGGCAGTCTCAGATAGTTATCTCGTTATGTCATCCTTCGCATGCATATTATGGTCGGTCCTAGGCTGTATAAAGCATGTGCGTTTTTTTTTTTCTTGGCTCTTTTTTTCTTATTTTGATTTCTTACCACAAGCTATTTCAGCAATGGACAAGTTCAATCTAAAGTTGATCCCAAAATCCGACTGCTCGCCCACGGGCCCGACTGTCGTCGAATGGTTCGAGAAGGCCGAACGTGTTTGCAAGGTGTCCAAAATAAAAGAACCTGCACTGGTCATCCCACCGAGACTCACGAGGGGAGCCTATCCTGCGAGCGTCTTCAAGATTGGACACACTGGGAATCAACAAATTGCTCGCCAGGGCCCGAAACATCTTGAAAGACACAGAACAGGTCGCGGCAGCTGTGAGAACACCCAAGACACCACGGAAGGGCCCAAAGTGCTACAAGTGCGGTGGACCAAACAATTTCTCTAGAGACTGCCGGAACCGAAGTGATGCAGGAGGCAGGAGTAGCCGACAGACATGAGCACAACTACACTGCTATCACTGCAATGAGTTAGGTCATACAGCACAGGATTGCTCGGGAAATGAGTCTGGGGACAAGGTGCTGTTGCAACCCTTGGCCCAAATCAGTCAGTAAATGCGGTATTGCCTGCTGTCAATGTGAGGGTTGAGTGTGAACGTTGCTTGGCGCTTGTTGATACTAAATGTTCCCGATCGATCGTCAGCACGGATCAATGCGTGACATGGAGCAGTCAACCAGTCCACAATTGCAACAGCAACCACCATTTGCCTCCACTTTTGCATAGTTTGTCCATACACATTGATATGACTATGTGGCATGCTGTGTAACTGTTTAATTCTCTGACAAAAACCTGCCTGACATTAGGAATCAGTTGAATCATTGCCATCAATCTCCCCACATATTTAAGAGGTACAATCACCCATTTCTTTACTTCCTTTTCAGACTTCACCTGCTCCTCTCCCTGCACACAATTTTCATACATGCCCACCCTATTCTTCAATTGTGGAGGCCCATACATCCAGTACTATGCTACTGTTTATTTGCTGCTATTGAATTCAGTACAAAAAAAAAATTTTCATTTTCAACCTTACCCTGCAACTGTTTTGTTCTGGAAGTTGTGTACCACCCACCATGCTATGATTTCTGAGGCAGTGGCCTCACTAGTCATCACTCATTTTTATTGTTTCCTCTGGTCTCTTTCATTTTTCTGCCTATTCCCTCTTTATTGTTAAGAGAACAATCTGTTGTTTCCCTCAACACACTCTTGCCTTATTTTACAACAATCTCCCTACCTTCTTCTCCACACATGATCAGTGATACCTTACTTCATTGTCATTCCACAGAATATAGCTTTTTGATGTTTTTCTAGGCTTATTCTTACTTATTTTCAGATGTTGACCAGTTTCACCTTGGTATTCATTACCATGAATACATGGAAAGCTATACCAACAGTTCCTTGATTTGATGGATGTTAGACTATAGTCAGATATCTCTGAAGAGTAGAACTACCTTTAAATGATTTATTGACAACAGATCCTCTGAATCCTTGTCAACATGCCTCTGATGTAAAGTAAACAGATTGGTAGTTTTCCACTCTGGCAAAGCTCAAGATGAACATTGTTCATCAATGAAACGTTATTAGTTTGGGACAACTGGTAAAGTATTTTGAGAAGATTAAGAGCAACTAATTTCTTAAAAAAATAAAAATAAAAAATCTTATTTCTCACCAATAATGGTAAACCTTAAATAAATGGGGCATGTATACAGAAACTAAAATTAAATAAAACTTAAGCACTTTTTTATAAACTGGTGAATGAAAATCTTAATTTAGATAGGTTTTATTATTTATCTCTAAATATGAAAAACAGTCTCTAATCATAAGAAAATTATATTTTTCTATCAATCTTTCTACATAAATTTGAGTGTCCCCCAGAGTTACCTTTTTCCTAATTTTTATCAATGACCTTCTCGATGTCATCAGCTCTTAATTCAACATCTATACTGATGAAACAACTATTTACTTCTTAATAGTAGGAATGATATGTTTGATAAAGTCAAATTGGCAGGAT